TTGGCACATAGGCCACGGGAACATATGGCTAAGACTGTGTAAACATATTGGGTAGCTGCAGATGATTGGTGTTATCCTGATGAAAAGAAGGTAAATACACAGAAATACAGGGAATGGATATACTTGCTGCAAAAATGAGCACTTTTCTGTATTCTTTATTCTGTGTAAGGTAGGAACAAACTTCTGTCTCTCTACCTTCCTCTGCGTATCCCTTTTCCCAGTTATGTGCATTCCCATTGCTCAACCCTTGAGCCCCTGGGAGTTTTTCTGGCTTTTTTGCATAGGTGCAATAATGGGAGTACTGCTTTCCCACTTTTCTCTTACCCTTCCTTTCAGAGGCTTTAGCTTTTTCCCATCCCCCTCTGTCTAGCGTCTGATACCCCTGCCCATACACATCTTTGGGCAAGGTTCTTCCTCCTTGTCTCTCCTCACTTGCTCACATTAAGACTGGAAAGTCCTGCCTTCTTTCTTCCTCTCTTTCCCCTGTAACTGCTTTTTGTTTTCTTGACATCTCTACTAATACACTCCAACTTAGAGCGAAAGACTAATTTTGAGAAAAATATCAATCATCAGAAGTGGACCCTTCTCTTCATAGTGACTTGAATAAAATCCAGCAAATATAATACTCCTGCTCTTACATGCACACATATTTGTGCACTTTGGGAAAGTTTATGTTTTATTGCAAGTCAGTTTGGAACCTATCTCAGAAGCTTTGTTTTAAAAAGCAGCGTTTATTTTTGTACTCTCCTTAAAAAATGAGTTTCTTATATGCAAACTATAGCTCGAAATGTCATGTCTTATAGCAACATTGCCATTTTATTTTAAAAACCAAAGGAAAATATGAAATATTCTTTTAAGCTAACGTCCACTTCTCTCTGGCTACTTCTGTCTCATAAATTAAGCACTACCAAGCTAACCGTTGGGTTCAGTGAAAGGAAAGTAATGTTGAAATTGAAGTAATTTACATTAGCTTGAGAAACTGAAGTGCTTTGAGAGAATACAAGTTTACTTTTCTTTTGATATTTTTAATTTTCAAATCCAAATATCCTTCCAAAAAATTGAGGGAGTGGAATACTCCCACTCCACTTAGAAAGTGGAGTACTTGTTTGTGAGTTCATGTGAAGTCTCTTCTCTTTCTTTCCTCCAACTGGCCTCGTCTTTGCAAGTAGAAAATATTCCTTCAAGAGTAGCAAGCATACCCCCATGACTTTTTTAGAAAGATGCTTTGAGCACGACTCTGAAAACAAGCCTTAATTTGTGAGATTTTTTCCTTCTCTTTCGAATTCACTAAACCTTTTACAGCAAATCCTGCAAACCTGTGCAGTGAGTAAAACCCAGCAATTCAGGACCTATGATTGATTTATAGCCAATTCCAAAAATTACTTTTTTTTTCTTTTATTTTTTTTTCTTCTCCAGACCTTGTCTGTAGCAATATTATTGTAAAAGACAAGTCAGAAAACAGAAATATGGCACTGGGTTCCTCTCACTAGGGAAAGCTTGGCATTTCTAAGAGGTGAGGAAGATGACTTTTAGAAGGCAAGTGTAGATGAGCATGAGAAAATAGCTGGAACTGTGGAGGGTTAAAGTTAGTTGCGAGCAGGTTGTTTTCTCCTATTTGGCTCAGATTTTGGTGCATCAAGAGCTGTGCTTTGGATTTGGAACTGGGAGAAGGGGAGGTGAACTAGCTGCTAGATGGAGGAGTGAGAAGATTCATGGTGATGAGAGTCAGGTTCCAGCGAACGGAGAGTTGTCTTTCTCTTGTTTCATTTCCATCTTTGGAGTATGATTCTCTGAAACCCCAGAACTCCTTTTTACCACTATGGTACCATACTGAAAATAATGCTGTATGCAAGCATCTGCATGTACATCAGTCACAGTCTTAAAGATTTTGTGTATTTCTAGGAAGGTATGTCTTTGGCAATGCATCCTATTGGCTTTATTTTGGGGGAACACAAAGTAATTCTGGGTATTTGATTAAAAAGTCATGTCAAAGTTTTGGTTTTGTTTTCTTTTGTTTTGTTTTGTTGTAAATGACTGCAAGGTTTCATAAAGGAACGTCTACAGCCTGATTTTTTCTGGAAAGGGTCATATGCAACTATCGAAACCAGTATGGTAGCTGAGACTTTCCACAGCCTGTTGCAGTTGTTATGAAAAGCACAGGAGTTCACCAAATCATCCCCTGAGCTGTTTAACGGTTATGTCCCTTGTGCAGCTGATTCCTGTCACGATGACACTTTCTCCACAGTACGAGAGAGATGTGGAACTGCTGGAGAGAGTCCAGCGCAGGGCCACAAGGATGATCAGGGGCCTGGAACATCTGCCCTATGAGGAGAGGCTGAGGGAGCTGGGCCTGTTCAGCCTGGAGAAGAGAAGGCTGAGAGGGGATCTAATCAGTGTCTATAACTACCTCAAGGGAGGGAGTGAGGAGGATGGTGCTGGCCTCTTTTCAGTGGTGGCCACTGACAGAACTAGAGGTAATGGCCAGAAACTGAAGCACCAAAAGTTCCACATGAACTTAAGGAAAAAAATTTTAACAGTGAGGGTGACAGAGCACTGGAACAGGCTGCCCAGAGAGGTTGTGGAGTCTCCTTCTCTGGAGATCTTCAAAACCCGCTTGGACGCAGTCCTGTGCCACGTGCTCTAGGTGTCCATGTGTGTGCAGGGGGATTGGACTAGATGATCTCTAGAGGTCCCTTCCAACCTTGAGCATTCTATGATTCTCTGATTCTATGAGGCACCAAAGAGTGGCCCCTGATGCTGGTGCTGTGACTCCATCCTTCAGGTATCATCCTGTCTGTCATCTTGAGCCCGACCCAGAGAGGAAGCATGTTGGCTACAGATCCACGCCGGGAGGCCTCTGCTAAGCTGCCGTGGCTGACGCTTTGCGAGCCCGCGCTGAACCACTCCATGTGGACTAGGCAGGCAGCCCTTGTGGGAGCTCCGGGAATGCCACACGCAGGGCCTGGTGCGCAGCTCAGCTGACACAAGGCCGTGCTGCGTTAAGGGTGGTTTGTTCCTTGTAACAAGGTCACCTGGCAGTGTCATTCTCCACGTTCTCCCACGGTTTTGTAATAAGACTGATGGTTACTATAAAAACTGCATCATTAATTGCTGCCTCCCTATAGCCTGCCACAGCAAAATGGATCTGCACTTCATGGAGCTAAGTTGGTCCTTCCTGGAGTGCCTGTGGGGAGAGGTGGCCGGCCCTCCCTCAGCATGTAGAACACAGCTAGGATGGGAGAGGCATTTCTTAACGAGACATTAGGCACACTGATTTTCAGCAGCATTGCTTCACCAAAGCTTATTATTTTAAATATCCAAGACTTAATTTCCATTTGATACACTAATGCAGGGGAGGCCCCATCCCTCTGCCGAGTTATTTTTGTAGGGGGGCCTTCCTGCGTGGAATTGTTCACTGCGTGAGGGCAGCTAATGTAAAGGTCAGTCCGTTACGGGTGGGTGGGAAGGAGAGGCTCGGGAGACTTGAAACACTAGCAGTGTAAGGGAACTGCCTCCGCGTTTTTGGTTAGAGCATACCCATCTCCACTACTCATTCTAGAGTAGTGAGCCACAACCTCATGCGCTTCCACATGGCCAAAGGCAATCTTGCTCTCATCTTCCACTGGCTTTTTCTTTCTCTCCTAAGACCCGGATAATCATGAAGGGGCTTTCAATGACTTTCCTTTCTCCTCTCTGTAAATACCCCTTTCAAGATCCTAATCCCCCAGTTCATTTCCCTCTGAGATTTGTTGATGAGTCCTCCTTATCCCCATAAAAATCCTTCTTCTGAGAAAATACTTTGACTGGCCGCAGTCTGCTGTAGCTGTGTTGAAACCTTGTGGCACTGTCCCTTTAATATGAGTGTAGGACTGTGAAGATAATTAACTTGTTTATGTAGATAGCACAAATGGGAACATTTTTAAAGGGCAGCTTGATTATCAGGTTTGGGTAGCTCAGCCTCAGATTTGAGACTTGGGATTGGTCGGAGATTCAGAACAAAAACAGTCCCTCGCAGATGTACTGGGATGTGCTGCCAACGTCTGAACAGGAGGCTCCTACAGACATTTCCTTCCTTTGCTCATGGGTCTGGCTCTCTGCTTGCTTGTGGGAAATGGGTTTGTGCACCTACTGCAGAAGGATCTGAGTCTGTGTGTTTATGTTTATAAAGAGAAGACAGAAGAGAGTGGCAATGGAAGTAGGCTGGCAGACTCCAGCTATCTGTTTTTTCTCATCCAAACACTCTCTCAAAAGTTTAAATGAGGAAGAGAGGTAGCAAACATGGGTTCAGTAGCACCTTCCTAGGAACAGTTCTATTTTATACCTTACAAATAACTGGGGAGTATAGCGGCGATATGGCAAGGTTGTACTATATTACATGGTAAGGGGTATAAAGCAGGTAATTCCTCCTGGAAAGAAAATGTGTTTGACTTGCAAGCTTTTGTTTATTTGTTTATTTACTCCCTGTCCTCTCATACAGTCACTTTTGGGCCAAAAAAGAGTAGTTTTTTTTTTTAAATACCCCTTTCAAAGATTGGTCTGGAAAGACAACTTTGCAATATCCAGTGAAGATATGAAGCACTGACCCACTAGAAATCATTCAAACCTTACCAATTCTTAGGTGGTGGAATTTCTACCCAGGGCCAAACTTCCTGCAGCACTAGAGCTGAAAACAGAGGCTTTATTCTGTCTGAAAATTCATTAGACACAATTCCTTATACTGTCACATCAGATAGCTAGGACCTGAGAATGCCCTGAAGACGTCTCATGACAGAGGTTTTCCAGTTTCCAGCAGACATGAGGTTTTCCAGTTTATTCAGGAACAGATCCTCCTCCCTCAGAAGAGGACAATACTCAGGAGAGGCACTAGGATCAGAGTAAAAGTGGATAGGACAGATTCAACTAAATCTCCATACGTATTTCAGACGTTAAACATATTCACTGGTTTATTGAGCCAAGAAGGCATCAATGATCATCTAATCCAATCTCTTGCCAGTTTTTCCCCTGTGAGTCTTTTATCACGTCCACAGGTTTCCCATGTCCATTCAGCAAAATTGTGAGAACATGGTGTCTTTAGCAGTGTGTGTGCAGCTATGCTTGACTTCAGAGATATGCTTATACAGCTTATCACTTACAGCGAGATATATTCTGAAATACCAGCAGGTAATTTTAGGCAGTTTAATCAACTGTTGAAGTTGATTGGTCTTCCCAAATCTACTTGTGGAGAGAGATGGGGTGCCCACAAGGGGATTTTTTAGAGGACCGCTGACTCCAGAGGGGAACACCTTAACAAGGTGCTTAATGTTGGTCTTTGTCATTGCCCTCTTTCTGTTCAATCTTTTTTTTTTCATATCCCTAAAATGAAAAATCTTAAGTGCTTATTCTTAGAAGTCCATATAATAGTCAGTGTTAGTGTGGGAAGCAAACTTACCTAAAAAAGCTCTGTAGTGGCCCCCTCCTGCACTTTCTCTGTGCTCCCCACAGCCACTTCTGCCATTTTCCACCCCCAGCACTAATGGCCAAAGAAAATAATGAGTTGTTCACTCTTTTCTCTTTCTGCTTATACTCCCACTCAGTTTTCTCTCTCAGTCTTTTCTTGGCTTGCTTTTCTAAGGAAGTGTCGCTTGGATTTGTCTCTGCTATGCAGCTGCACAGCACTTGGGAATGGCAATTTGCGAAATGGCACAAACACTGTTTGGCAGAGATCATTTCTGTGGTGTTTCTTCCAGGCTAGAGCTCCTGGGACATGCCTGAGACACTGGAGAGAGTTCAGAGAGCTGCACATACAAACAGCGCTGACCTAGGAGTTTTGCAATACGAAACTGCTGCGGGAGGGCAAGGAGAACAGGGACCTGTTCAGCCTGAAGAGCAAGCAGCGTGAGGCAGCAGGGCTGAATGAAGGGCAGAGCTGCTGCCTGTTAGTAGCCAAGGGGACTTCTGCAAAGCATGTTCCCATTTCTCCATGAAGGTAAGGCAAGGAATAAAAAGCCTCAATTAGTGCAGGAGAATTGTAGGTTACAGCTTAATGAAGACTTTGTGGCTTTGTGGTTATTTGTGGAACAAACTGTGGAATCCCCCTTGGACGTGATGTGCAGGGTGAGACAAAGTTCCCTGCAAGGCAGAGTTGAAAATAAATAATACAGTCCATCAGATCCAGATGGGGCCTGGACCGGATAGCACAAGAGAGAGCAGCCTCAGTTGACACGGGTTGATTGATTAGTTGTATTGATTGATTAGTCAGGAGATCGGAGGGAAGAGAGAGGTGACCGATCAGGAACCAGCAATACAAAATCATCTGTGTTTGTGATCCTGCCTACTCTCTTGGGGATATTTACCTTTTTTTTTTTTTTTCCCAAGGGGTTCCTGTTCCCAAATCACTTTGGTGTATTTGACACCTCCAACTGAAACAGAAGAAGAAGGAAAGAGTTCTGCAGAGAGAAGACAGATAGATGTAAAAGTGTTGGATTGGAAAGGTCATGCAGGGAAAAAATAAATAACTCCAAAAGCTAGGAAAGAGAGTTAAACAGAATAATATTTTAAGGAGGGATTAGAAAGACATTTGGTAGAAAAGAAAGGACTGAGGCAATAAGGAAAAGTACAGGCAAGAAAGGCAACAGTGTGGAAAAAAAAAGGAAAAAAAGAAATGAAAGAAATGAGATTCAGGTAATATGCTGAGTATCTAGTCATACTAAGCATATGGAGCCTGATGGTGAATATGGATCCATGGTTCAGATAGCAGAAGAAAACATTTTGTATAGACTTACACAGTATCCTGTTTGTAAGAAGTAAATTTGAGCAGTTACTGCTCGGGGCTTTCAGGAGGAGAATGATCATTTTATTTTGAACAACAGAAAGGCCTCATTTGAATTTATTATGCAATAAGTATAAATTGCATTATTTTATGGAAAAAAAAAGGAAGAGATAATGCAGTATTACCATAATGCCTTTTTTTCTTTCTGCCTGTCTAATCTCCCCCTTTCTTTTCAGTCTTATTCCAAAATGAAATATCGGGTCAATCTTTTTTTCTTTAACAATTGCATCAGCCATAGAAATGTATCACACGATAAATGAAAGAGTATGAATAATTCAGAACAAAATTTGAAACCATTTAAAAAGCAGAGGCTTCACATTTCATCTTTAACCTGTTTCCATGTAATGTGAAATCTCCAAAAATTACTTTCAGATTTTTGGAGCAAAACCATTTAAACTATTGAAAATATTCTTCATTCATTTAATACAGAGTTTTCCAAGTGTGTTTTTTAAATTTCATGAAAATAAACAATAAGAAAGCTATATACGGCCTAAACATGAAATACCATACGTATTTCCATAAAATATTATGCCCCTAGAATATGATTACCTTTTTCTGTAAGCTTTTTAGAAAATGAAATGTTATAGTCAGCCAAAACTGACCTACTAGGGGATTTACATGATCTTTTTCTATCATTGCCACGCATATATTCACTACTGTCATCACTCATGAGTGTGAATTTTTGGCTCCTTAATACCAGCATGGCTAGAAAACAGCCTTTTGCTGGACCTGAGCCAGAAAGCTTAGCAACCAAAGCACAAAGAGAAAAGCCAGTGCAATACTGAGAAGAATTTTTTCCTAGTGATAAGAGCTGGCGTTCAGAGTCAGCGCTCCGAGGATTTGTTCCCCAGTTTAGGCACCGATTCAGTGTGTGACCTTTCAGGAGTCTCTTTATCCTCTGCTTATTAAAGGTCCATGCTTCACTGTCCTCATCTGCAAAACGGCAAGAGCCGGAGCGAGCCCCTTTGCAGCTGAGGCTGAGGGTGACCGCACGGCATGGCATGCGTGAAGCACGTTGAGACCCTCCAGGAGAAGGTGCTACGGAGAGGGCAAATCGCGTCGTGGTCCCCTCCCAGGCATGCAGCGTTGTTAGTGAGCCCACGGCAGGCCCTCAGCGCAGCCAGGCAGATGGTTACGGGAGCATTAACGCGCGTTTGCGTTGCGGGCACCGCGGCGCTAGCGCGCACGTTGCATCTCGGCTATCGCGGCTGCACCGCGGGCGGGCGGTTGGGGGTGTCCTACCATTCGGTCCCTGCCCTGTTGATCTCCTCCCACCAGCACTCGGTGGGCTCGCCGAGGCTCTGGGCTGCCGGCATGCACGCGTAGTTCCACAGCCTGTCGGAGCCCTCCTTCTTGCTGAAGACGCTCCTGACGGCCACAATCACCTGCCCGTGCGGGCACTGGAAGTTGAAGCCCTGCCGGTACACGTTGACCCACTCATCGTTATCGCCATAGTTATAGGGGCCATAGTAGTAGTCACCATACTGGCCCCACGCCACTGTCACCAAAGGCAGGAACACACAGAGAAGGGCAAGGTCCATATTGACGACGCTTCTGGCTTTGAAATGCCCCACCAGTTCGTTGGGCTGGCCCTTTTATATCGCCTCTAACATTTGGCTTCCAGATGTTATGCTTCCAGATCCAAGTGCAATGTGTCATTGCTTAGCAAACCTTCTCTGAGTTACAGACACATCCAATTATTTTAAGGTGGAATTCTGCAAGTACAGTGACTCCGCAGGCCATAAGAATGAGGGTTTCCCACAATTGCAAGTTGTCTGTGATCCCTTGCTGTAGAGCTACTGTGTAGAACAAAATATACATCATAATGCATGTGTCAGATATCCCACTTGTGTCCTCAAGACAGCAGTTCAGTTTGCAAACTACTCTATTTGGAATTAAGGCTCTTTTCAAAGATGTCGTTTCCTATCATTAGCAACATCCGACAAATTGTGATTGTGCCCTCTCCCTCTGCAACTTTTTCCTTAAATGAGTGAAATGACTTTGTCCATTCCTAGAAAGATGGAAATTGGGCAAGGCAGGGGAATTCACTGCTCTCACTGTAAAAAATCCTTTCGACATTTTGGCATGGTTTGGCTGCAAGTGGAGTGGAGCCCAGTGCTCTGGCTGGGCATATGAAGAGCCCGAATTGAGAAGCAGGGCACCAGCTTCCTCCACACAAAACTGATTTTGTTATGATGAGGTGGGAGCACTCTAAATCTGTGTACTCAGCAGGTATTTTTATGTGAGAGCTTACACATAAGCAAGCTAGGGTAAGAGGAACTTTGTGTGTGGCTACTGCCCATTACACTTTTGAGCAAGGCCCTTTAAACTACCCTGCATTATTATGGAGCTGCCGCTGGGAAACAGCTGTGCTGCAGGTTCACAACCTGGAACCAACTCTTGGAAACGCGATGGTTTAGCGTATCCTCCAATCATTTCTTTATCAGGAAAACATCCTATTCAAGAGAGCGTGAAAGGGTGCGCTTTGTTTAACTGAATACATCAATCCTATGGGAAAGTATGGGAGCTAAGGATGTTTTATAAAGCAATGTGCTCAAGCTTTCCTTATTCAGAATCCAAAACCAGTGCAACATACTATGTATGTTCACTGTGTTACTAGTGAACTGTATGACCCTTGGAATGGCCCTAGATTCAGATCCGGTCTCTGCCAGTGAAATAATAGTGAAGAATCCAGAGACCTTTCTCTTGCTGCAGAATTTTCTTCCTTTTTGCTGCCCCTCTCCTCCATTTTGACCATATGCAAAATTTTACATCTGATGGGTAACAGAGTGGACTTGCCCCAGATGGCAGCTCATTTCCAGGGAGCTCCAAGCCTGCTCCCGCTTTGCAGGAGCACAAGCATCCCAGGAGGCAGGCACCTGTCCTAAGCAGCCCCAAACTTGGAAGCCGCCTGTGGGAAGCATGTCCACACCAGCCTGTCAGCCAGGCTGGAGGAGTGCTAACGTGCTTCTTGCTTTTTTTGTAGTACAGCCTTTTTAGTCGGGATTGGAAACGGGGTCAAGCTCTTTGCCAAGAGCAGAGTGCAGCGATGAGCTAAGTTGTCCACACTCACAGTGTGTGCAGATCCGTATGAATCTGGGCAACGGAGAGCTGCTGATCTAGCTCAGCACCTAACCTCCAGCTACAGCAGGAGCTGAATGCCCAGAGGTGGAGGATAAAGCAACGGCACAAAACAGACCTTTGCCTGGCACCGCTGTCCTCTACATCTTTGGTGACAGTGGGGGACACAGGTAGCCAAAGTCTGATGATAGGGGAAATGGGAGATTATAAAAGACATAGTGTTCCCAAGAGCATCAGAGCGCAGAACTGAACTGCATGATCTCACATGAATTTTTCAGTAGTGTACATTTTTCCCCGCCTCGCATCCTCAGACACGTAGTCCACATCTGGGAGCACCGCACACTGTTGTCTATGCCTGAGAGGCATTCTGGAAAAAAGTACTATGTACACTCCTCTCCTCACATAACCCTTACCCCTTCATGCACACCAGTCCTTGGAAAGGAGTGCTCAAGTACCCACACAGGATCAGGGGCAAGAGGGCATGGGAAGTAGGAGGAGGGTCCTACAGGAGGAAGGGGACAAGATTCCTCTGTCTGCCTTTGATGTTTGTGATTCTGAGTTGTCTGTTGACATTATTCCTACCTATGCTTGATCCCACTTAGCAGATAGGGTGACTCTTCCATGTATGCTGTGATCGAGAAATAGTTAGGGTGAAAAAGTTGCCCAGAGAAGATAGTGAGCACAGTCACGGCACTGTAGAGATATTATGATCAGGTCAACCTGAAAGCTACAGTTCTGCAATTTTTGGCTCCAGTGTTTTCAGGGAACTTTTAATAATTTCATACATCATTCTGAATAAAAACGAGAGAGATCAGAATTTCCTATGGGAGAGGCATGGTATTTTTCGGTCATCTTGAAGTAGGGTGGTATTTGGGAGTAGATAGAACTGTGATATGAAAAGTATTTTTAGGGGTTAAGAAAAGAAAGAATTGTGTGTACATGCATGAATTTTCTGCCAGAGTAATGCACTCTCATCTCTGAAGTTCACAGCAGCTTTGTTCATGGAGCAAAGTTGAGGCTGCACTGGGCTGGTTTCCTTAACACTTCACACCACTGCCCCAACCCAAATAGTTCCACTGATGCTGCCAGTGCTGGGAGCTGCAAATTTGTGTTTCCAGTGACTCACTGGCATGTTAACCAATATGCTGAATTCTGCTCAGACCAGTCAAGTAAACAGAGCAGTTCAAAAGCTGGTGGCCAGTGATTTGGAAGAGGTTTGGGAGAGCTGCCAACTAGTCTGCCTGGCTGACAGTAGGGCGTGATTTGGGCAGTTTTGTGACTTTGTCTGGTTTTGGCTAGAATTTGCACAGGGAGATGTCAGAGACATTGAAAAATCTGTCCCTCTCTCTGAAATGACTTGTCCCTTCATTTACCTTGAAAAAGTCAGCTGCAGGTCTTGCACATTCAATCTTTAGAAAAGAGAAAGCATCAATAAAGTAGCAGAGAGGAGGTGCTAGGGCCAGCCTTTCATTACCAGCTCCTTGCCGTGAAATCCATATTGACTGGTTGTTTCATTGTCTGACAATTCTTGGAAACGCTGCGTTAACCCGTATAAACAAGGATGTGCTCTCCGTCTTGCCCAGTGGCGGTGAAGGAAAGTGATTTTTCTGGCCTGTTTGGCACCTGGGAGGCCCCAAGTGGAGCACCGTGTCCCGTCCTGACCGCCCTGACCCAAGGGAGCTATTGGCCTGGATGCCCTAAAGGCTGCATAGCGGAGGGCTGCTGAGTGGCCAAGGGCTGAAGCGCCCAGTGTAGGAGGAGAGGCTGGGATTGCTCAGCCTGTAGGTGAGGAGGCTAAGGAGGAGTGTCCCACATCGCCTTAAGATGCTCCTTTGTGGCACTGCAGGCAGTACTAGTGCCTCGGAACCAGCTAGGAGAAATGCAGTAGTGTGTTTTGCGGCACCGCAGCCGTGGAGCGCAGAGAAACTGCAGTGCTTTGAACTAAAATTGTAGCTGCAGTACTATTATTCAAAAGAAGAACATTAACCAGCTTGATGAGTTTTATTTTAGCACCCAAGCTCTCTGATAAAGTAGGGGAAAGAAGGGGAAAGGCTTTTTATTTGGCAAGCACAGGGATGCTAGAGCTGCAATGAGAATAGTAAGGGTTCAGACCTGATTAGTGGCAGGCACAATTAGGCTAATTTTCTACAGAGCTGTGTTACATGAAAGCAGTGTCATCTGATTTTAGTGGAGTAGCATTTCTGTCTTGCCGTAGCTCCTCCAGTCGCAAAGGTCTGACTCATGGATGATGTGTTTTTTTCCCTGCTCTGAGGGCAGAAAGGACGTATAAGGGTGTTATCTCACAGCATTTCATCCTTCTGGTGCACGAGAATAATTCCATCCCATATGACTCAGGACCGTAGCCAGAAGTGAAGCGTTGCATTTAGAGGTGGTGAAGAGAGCTGAATGCGTAGCGCTTGAATCCTTATGTCCTTTGCACACA